TTCACAAGAGCATTTCATAAAAAAAAGAAACTTACCTATTTCCATTATAAATTCCGATTGTATTGAAATTTGATAGTAACTAATAACCTCTTTTTATACATTTACATTTGATGTGTGTTTAAGTAATAGCCAAAGTAGAAAATTTTCGCGTGAAGATTTTCAAAAAAAACTCACAACTCTACTCTTATATCATTAACTTGTTTCTTGCTTTCTCAAACGACATTGTTTTTGAGACAGATTGTTTCGAATAGGTGGAAGGAAGTCGAATACTTGATAAGATGTTGGCAATAAACTGCTTCAATTATATTATTCGAGTAAAACATGCTGTTGGAAATATAGTTCGTCGTAAGCTTATATATAATCTCATTATGCTTATTTTGTTCTCGATCCTTCGATCTGATTTATCATTACGTATCTTCATCCTTAAAATGAGTCATCGAAGCATATGTCATGAAATATTACGGATTACGGTAATTTTGACAATCTATGACTGAAGTGGTTTATACGTGGGAATTTGACGAGGATATATCGATTTTTGGCTATGATGTTAGTTATGTGTGTGTGTGGAATTTAGCGTGGGAGCAAGCAGAATAATCATCTTATAAAAACTCGAGATAAAACCTACCCGATTTCCATAAGAAACATTTATATTCAGGATGATTGAACCTCCAATAACAATTTTATTAATTGGACAAACTGGAAGCGGAAAGTCCACAATCGCAAATGTAATCAGTGATACCAATAATTTCAAAGAAAGTGAATACGGTGTGTCGGAGACACACGATATCCAAATTGAAAGTTTCAAGTTGCAAGATGAGAATTTGGAATTGCGTATTATTGATACCATTGGTATCGGTGATACTCGATTCAGTGAGAGAGAAGTATTGACAAAAATTGCCGATGCCGCCGATATGGTCAGAGACGGGTTAAACCAAATTTTCTTCGTCACGAGTGGTCGGTTCACTGAAACGGAAGTTCAAGTGTATACTTTACTCCGAACAGTCTTCTTCGCCGAAGACATGGGGAAATACACAACGATTGTTCGAACAAAGTTTCCGAGTTTCAGAAACATTTCTAAATGCAAGAAGGATGAACAAAGAATGATCGATGAAAACGAAGATGTTGCAGAGATCATTAAAAACTGCAAGAGCTTTATTCACGTCAATAATCTGACTGAAGAAGAAGAACCTCGGTCATCCTCAAGGGATGAATGTAGATCTATATTGAGAAAACATCTTATTTATAATTGCAAAGAGATTTATAGACCAAGAAATTTAAATGAATTAAATGAGAGAATTAAAAATCATATTACTGATAAAAAGCAGATGCGAGAGGAGATCGATAATATCAAGGAGCGATTGAACCAATCCGAAGCAAACGCGAAAAAAGCAACCGATGAGGCGAATGAATTAGAAGACAAATTACAACTCGAATTTAAGAACCAGTTACATGAAAAAGAAATATCCATGCAAAATCAGAACGAAAAAATTATCCAAATTATAGTCGATCAAATGAATTCTAAACTTGAGGAGATTAAAGAAAGGGATATTTTAGTAATTAATCAATTAAACAAACAGATTAACGAACAACAATCTAGGTACGACCAAATGCTTGCCAGACAAAAATCTTATTATGAAGATATAATAAAAAGAGAAAAAGACGAACAAAGAGAAAAAGACGAACAAAGAGAAAAAGACGAACAAAGAGAAAAAGACGAACAAAGAAAAAAAGACGAACAAAGAGAAAGAAACGAACAAAGATCAAACTGCTATATATTATGACTTCCAAAATTATGGCACCATTCAATATAAAATTTTTGACATGCAATATATCTCATAAACTATCAAAAATTTTTAACACGAATTTGAATACATTTGAATTGCCTTATTTTCAATTATATTATAATAAAAATTTTTAAATCTAATTCGTAGTTTTTTTAAAAAAAAATAAAAAAATGAAACTTTATGGTGCAATACTTTTGAAACTGATCATTTTTTCGATTTAATTTCTCAATAAATTTAAAATGAAATGCACCCAAATTTTTTTAGACACTACCATTTGGTATACCTTAAGTACATGGTGTCGAATATCGATTTGTTCCCAGATAGTATGTATCTTTTGCTACAAATCTTCGTTGCTACTAAACAACGATCTATTTCGTTCCACAAGTGTTCAATCGGATTAAGGTAGGTGATTGCGAACAATTCAAAATATTAATTTTATTGTTAATAACCATTCGTAAGTTTTAGTCATCGGGTCATTGTCCTGTTGGAAAATGATATCGTTAGTACTTAAATTACATGCACGGGTTTTCAAGAATTCCATCAATTTTACAATAATTTCCAACACCAAAACTACAAATCGTTTCCATACCATAATAGATCATCAAATTTATAGTTGGCTTAACATGTTGCGATAGCAAAGATGATTTTGGATTCTTCCAACACATCTTCTCTTCTATCCGAGTCAAAAATCATGAATTTACTTTCATCAAACCAAACCATCTTTCTCAAATCTTTCATTGAACAAAAACTTGTTGCGCTAATCTATATCATTTTAATAGCGACGGTTTTTTCTTTTAACGTGAAATACCAGATCTTTTTTTTTAATAAGTGTCTAATCTTATTTGAGAAAACAAAGATACTTTGATCAAAAATTAATTTGTTTGAACTTGGATGGTATTAAAACATTCATTCATTTTAATAAGTTTGAAAATATTTCTATTGTTATATAATGAACTTTTATTGTATATTTTATTAAACATTTCATAGTCTAGCATTATTCCATAAATAGTATTTTACTATAAATAGAATAATTAATTCAGAGATATTTTATAATTTCCTAAAACAAAGATTTTAAAGTGATTAATTGATTAACTTTAATATAATATTTTTTAAAATTTTTAAAATTAAATTTTTAAAATAAACATATTTAAATAAAGTTTTTTAATCAATTAATTTTTATTATTTAAATTTTTAAAATTATAATTTTTTCTGGACATATTATTAATCTTTATAATAAAAGAAAATTTTATTATGAAATAATGCGAGATCATAATATATTTTATATTTTATTAGAAGAATCTAAATCACATAAATAAGTGAATAAATAAATAAACAAATAAGTGAATAAGCAAATAAGTAAATAAATAAATAAGTGAACTTAATTATCTCTTATATTTAGTTATTACTTTTTTTTGTTTATTTAAAAAAATACAATTTGTATATATTAGAAAATAATATAATATTTAACTTCTCTTTGTTATATTTTTTGTAATTTAAATTTTTTGTTACTTATAATATTATCTAAATATATTTGCTATAAATATTATTAAGTATTTATTATTAATTATAAATCTATTTAATATTTATAATAAAGTCTTATAAGTTATAATTATTGCTTTATATTAAAATTTGTTATTTTATTAATAAATATTTTTCATTTTTATACTAAAATAAAAAATATTTATTAATAAATAACAAATTTTAATATAAAACAATAATGTCAATTTTACTATTTTTTTTTTATTTTCGATAATATAGTGTAGGGATATATATTTGAATAAAAAAATTATATTATAAATTATAAACTTAGCTTGAAAAATATATTTGTTATAATATATATTATATTATATTTTAATATTAATAGTTTGAAAACATTTAGATTATAATTAAAAAAATATAATTATTATTAATTTTTAGTTTTGTTATTTTAGTTTAATATCTTTAGTAATTTATTATATATTTAGTTTATAAGTTATTATTTTTTTAAATTATTGAAAATTCTTTTAAATATTTCTTTAAATATTATAAATATTTTTAATTAATTTAAAATTCAGTTAAAATAATAACAAAAATTTGATGTTCTTTTTATAAATCAAAATTTTAAAAATACTTTTACAAAAAAATAATTATTATAATATCTAAAGCTAAAATCTGGCTGATATTAAAATTATTATATTTTATTGGCTAACTAATTTTTATTCTCTAATTTATTGATTAATTTTAATATTAGTTAAATTTCAATATTATTTATATAACAATTATTAATAAAAGAATTCTTTTAAAAATTAAAAAATCAAAATTTTAAAAACAAAATAATTATTTAATAATAAAATCCTTTATAAATTAAAAAAATATAAAAAATATTAAGTAAAGAATTTTTCTATAAAATAAAAGAATTTTTAATAATAAAATATAAGAAAAAAATTCTTTATAAATAAATAATCTATTAATTATATTTATTTTAACTTTTAATTTGAATTTATTATAAAAAATATATATATTATTATTATTATTATATAATTTAAGTTATTTATGTATTATTTACATATTTTTATTAATTTAAAAATGAGAGACTAAGTTTTTATGATGGAAAAATCTAAAAATTATTACTAAAGATAGATAATATATATTTATATTGTAATAATATTTAATAAATTCACTAAGTATTATGAAAGATCATGATGAAAATGGATCATGATGAAAATCACATAATTTTATTGTATTATAGATTCTTATTACATTATAGAATTGACTATAAAGCAAATATTTATATGTCATCCAATATCATAATATCACATCAATACTACTGATAATTTTTTTTTGCTTTTTATTTTTGCTTATTATTCTTTTTTTTGATATCCATATTGTATTGATTGTTTTTGATTATCTTTGACATCTACTTTGTATTGATTATCTTTTGTTGTATTGGTTATTTTTGATTATTACATTATATTAGTTATCTTTGATTGTCATATTATAAATTAGTTGCCTTTGATATTCATGTTGCATTAGTTATCTTTAATAACTATATTGTATTAGTTATCTTTGATTATTATATTGTGAATTAGTTATCTTTAATATTTATATTATATTAGTTATCTTTAATATTCATATTGTATTGATTATTTTTGGTTATCATGTTGTGAATTGATTATCTTTGGCATATACATTGTGTTATTTATCTTTGGTTATCATATTATAAATTGATTATCTTTGATATCCACATTGCATTGATTGTCTTTGGTATTAATATTGTATTGATTATCTTTTGTTATTATATTATTTTTGATATTAATTAGTTTTGGTATTCACATTATATTAGTTATTTTTGGTATTCACATTGCATTGATTATCTTTGATATTCACATTATATTGATTACTGTTACCATTTCATAAAAAAAATTCATAATTACTTAATTATTGATCAACAAAAATTAAGATATATTACAAAGAATATTAAATGTTACATTATGTAACTCAATGATGATCAAATTAATTTGCCTCTTTATTTTTGTATAGTATCCCATTATACGATTATATTTAGTATATATCATTACCTTTTTGATATCTAGATCATAATATCTAAATATTAATCACATTTTTGTATACTTTTTGTTTTATTTTCTTTTACTATTGCACTAAAATCATTTATTTTTGTATTTTTCATTATAAAACTTATATTTTGATTATTGATTTATCTCATCTATATCTCTATCACATTTATTTTTATCTTTTTATTTCATTATTTTTAGCCAATCATTTATATATTTATTTTATTTTCTTTTTCATTCTAGTTACAATTATTCTTTTTATCTTTTAAATTTCTCTATTATAATTATCTATAATCATATTTGTACTATTATTTTCTTTCTATTGTTATCGTTTTGATAGGGCTTTCGAAATACTCAAAGGTATTTATAAAATTTAAGGAATATTCAAAGGGAATCTTCCAATGTCTTAATGACAATTCAAAGTCTAATAATACTTTATGGCTTTAAACTGAATATGAATTAAAGTACGACAAGTACTTATAGAATCACTTAAAGGTTGATAACAATTGTGTTCTTTAATGCAATAACTGGACTGCTTAAAAAGAGTCCTCAAAATCTCAACGTCAAATATAATGTACGTATTAAAAACGTCTTTAAATCTTTAAAGTTAGAATATAAGATTTAATATTCGTATTATCCACAATACGAATCAAAGATAAATGTGTTGAACAATGTATTATTAGCAA